CCTATCTTAGACAAAACAAAGAAGAGATTTCAGTCTTGTTTAATGAGAGATTTGTGTCTGACAGGTTGGGTTTTATTATCAAAAGCAGAAGGGTTTTCTTGCTTTGTATGTTTCTCTTTCATTAGATGTCCCTAAGTATATTATTAATGATTAATGATAACTTCACTAAGAAAAATAAACCTCATTATATAAGAAAATCTCTTCTAACTCAACCTAGGAATCACGGTGGATTGATTTTCTTAGATTTTTATGCTGCTATTATTATCTTTCAAGGCAGTTGGATTAGAAATTATACTATAAACAAAAATAATATATGGAATTGTATTCCCAAGTTGATTTTTCAATATATAGGTGATCTTGAATTTTTGATAAAATGTAATTTTGATATTAATAGAATTCCTCTTAAATTATCTAACTTTCATAAACAAGTTTTATTATGTTGGAATTCAATAGATAAGCGCAACGTTTCACCAAATACATTTTATTTTTGGAAAAATAAAGATATAAAGTAAAAAAATAAAAGCATATTTTTTCCAACTTGGTATGATAACAAAATCTGGCTAGTGGCCTTATTGTTAAATGAAGAGGGCAGACTGTTTACATATACAGAATATTGGGAAACAATTAAGATTCCTATCACTCCCTGTGAATATATTATAAACTTTGATGCTATTCCTGAAAATTAACTTTTGGATGAAGTAAATATAAAAGAAAAAAAATGCAATAATAATTATATTAGGAATTTGTGCTATTTATATTTTAAACCTTCTTGTATCTCCTTTTGGAATACTATGTTTAGGAATATAAATCTGAAATTAGTTTGGACAATTACTGTCTTACAAATAAAGTTTAAGAAAGATCATTCATAGATTTTATAGACCTTTTAGTCTACTGTTAGTGAGATTCAGTGATAGGATTGTTTTTTTTTTCTAATTACAGAGAGAGCCAGAAGAGGATTAATTAAAAGAGGCAAAAAAGAAACAAAGTTGAATGTTATTGTTGATAAAAAATACATTATAATACCAATACCTTGCATTTATATTACAAAGCGCATACCATTCCAAAAGGATCTCAAAGCCATTAGCAATCTGTGGAATGACTAACATCACCACCACTGAAATATTTCAGCCACCTGCATGACAATTTTACATCAGCAATCTCACTACACTACAAAGTTTTAAGTGTACGTCATAATGCTTTGTACTTTTATTACTATATGGTCACATTTTTAATCCACAATTGAGACGCCCAGACCTCACTCTTTTCTTGTACAGCATGCCTTAAGGGGACCACCTTACTGACTAAGATATATGTCAGGCTTCAACTGTTGTATTGGAAATATCTTTTGCACACTTAGAAAGACAACTGTCCTGGCCTCATCCTGCACCCAGTAGAATCTTTGTCTCACTCTGCCACGTTTAGAGATATCTGTCAGTTTGTGCACAGGAATTATGGTACTTAGTATAACAGCAAAAACGTCATAAAAATGAAGAGCAGCAGGCAGGCACATGGAAAAGGTTGTGCACACACCAGACAGAGAAGCCATTGTAGGCCAGTGGCATAACGGATAACATGTCTGACTGTGGACCTGAATGTTTTAGCTTTAAATCCTGGCTGACTCGTGTGGTGTTACATTAGGTCTGTTACTTGCTACAGCATTTTTACCCCCAAAATGTGATTGTTTTGCAGTATGCTGGGCTTTTGTAGTAAAAACTGAACTGTAAACTGAACATTTTCAAGGTTATAATGGCACCTTTTTCCACCCAAATACCTCTCATTTGGCTAAGTGATATTTTAGAAGAATATATCTTGTTGGAAACAATCCAGCCACATCGGTCCAGTTCGAGCACCTATTTTCACATCAATTTCAGTACCTGTTTCCTGTTAAATCCTGTATCTATATTTTTTTCAACTCCAGTTTGTGGGTTTTCTTATACTCTTAAATGACACGATGGCACAAGATTCGATTAGTACACATTGTGCATGTTACAGTCTTCAAATGACAGACAGCAGTTGGTCTTGGCATTTTGATTTTTCCTTCCTTACCTTACAGATATTACGTTGATGCACAGAATATCTGAGTTCAATAAGAATGACGTTGCAGATTGCACAGGAAATCATATCCTCTCCTACTGCTATCTCCTACTTTACGTGGGTCGTTTAGTAATGGTTATCCAATTAACTTGAAGATGTTTTAGACATACCTCATGGACATATTGTATTGGTTTCCCTTAAGAAACATTCAAAAGCCATCTGCAAAATGCTGGTTTTCTCTTTTGTCGGATGTTGCATACATTTTGCTATTAAGAAGGATGGCAAGCATTGGTTTCTTTCACATTGCCCTGTACCAAATTCTGATTATCTGGACCTCATTATTCTCTTAGCTGTTTTAAGGATGTAAAAACCAGGCATCTACTCAGCAGCGGAGTGAAGAGCACACCAGGGAGCCAGCCAGGAGTCAAACCTGGAATCTTCGAATCCGTAGTCAGATGCATTGCCCATTGCACCGCTGGCCCACGTGGGTTGGCATGTAGAGATGTGCTTTTTTTTCACAGAAAATAGATTTTTAGATCTTCTGCGCTTTTTCTCTTGAGCCGCAATAATCTTTCAGCAGAAAATTAGAAATAAACCTAAGGAGACACTGAATATTTAACGCTTTCAAACTGATCTTGTACATTTGCTATGAAGGAAGGATGTTAATGAATTGCCATCGTGAAGCCTACAATATTGCACGTGTTTTGAAACAACGCGTGTTTTACAGTCAGAGAACACAATTGTTTTTTGCTTGCTTCCCCGGTTTAAGCCTTCATTAGTATTCGTGTCTCTTGATGCATCGAAACATGAAAAGACAAAGCTTGTGCAATGTAATACAGGGTAAAATTGGTGCATTTAATGTTTCAAATACGAATTATGCGCTACAATGAGAAGCCCTCCAGGAGTCAGAACTGTCTGTATTTCTTCATTTTAAAATAGCTCTCAGAGACCTCTCACTCACTACCACCTGATTTGGACCAATTTACCAATTTGGGAACAACTGGCTAAATCTCATGCTCTGATTCTACTGGCTGGTATTCCAGAAATCCTTAAATTCAATTTTTGAAACCGTTCTTACTTTTTCTACTCGATCTGCATTGTATGAACTATGCTGCATTTAGATGAATGGAATGTCTCATGGGGTGGGTGACTCCTTTATTTTGCTTTAGGATGCTTTGTGATTAGAAGATTGTCACTGGCCGAGTGACCAGGTTTGGCTCAAAAGAAAAGAAACTCCCACACAGCAGTCTTCAAATGCAAACAAAACTGGATTTATTGCCATCAAAATAGGGATAACAAAAAAAAACCCTCGCAAGAATACTCTCCACACCTTTCCTCCATGGCACCCTCCCCATACTGAGCTCTCCCAGTTCCCTTTTATAGACCCTCCTCTTCTAAGGACCATCCTCTTAAAGGGACTCGTTCACATTTTCTTAACAGAGATAGGCAGTTTGACCAAAATAAAGTATTTAATCATCCAAAAAAAAACAACTAACCTTACATCGGTTATTTATAGATGGCTCACCAGTAACCTTTGTTTGTCAGTAACATTTGTGTGATACTACAAACAGGAAAGGTGACTGGTGGCCATTTGATCAACACAATACAATACTCCAATGGGGAAAACACTGCAGTGATTTTAGGGAAACAACAAAAAGGGTAAGTATCATTCACACTTCATTCGTATCACATACACACTCTCAAACATACCAGAAGGGTAGAGGGAAATATTGGAGTATTCCACATTCAGTAAAAGAAAGAAAAATAACAAGCACTCTGTCACAAAGAACAAGGCACTACTTCTGTTTAAATGTAAGGAGCTACTAAAAGAAAAAAAATGTAAAACTTATTTCCTAAGAAAACAGATACATATTTAGACAATAGCAGATGCATTGTAATGACATGAACTGCTACAAACATATCTGAACATTAAAATATATATGAAATACAGACCTATATAGCTGAGCGGCATGTAGAAAGGGAAACTGACTTGATCGACAAACTGTGTCTTGTGAACAACAGTGTCATCTGCTGGACTAGTGCTGAACTGCAGAAAAACTGGGAATTCCCAACCTGCACTGTCTGTTACAGGTCTTCCTATCAGTCCTTAGTCACCAGGTAGCATCTAAGTTTTGCCAGTTAACAGTCATCTGGGTTGTATTTTCTCTTTTACACCATATAGAAATAATGTTCTTCAATTATAAGGAAATGGAATTATAAAAAGGACATTTACTGACTTTGAACTTTGAACACCAAAAACACAATCATTCTGTATCACTCCAGCATTGATGGAAACTCTGCTATAGAGCTTGCAGATAAAATCCACCACTAGCAGTGAGGCAGATTCCCAAGCGAACCTGTTAAGATAGGCGATTGCCATCATCTGCCTTGGCAGGGAAAGACAGTGTCCTCTTGGGCCCTGACCCCTGGGACAAGATCTGGTCCACAGTTGGCTGATTTAATTAGTACTCTGCTGTGGGGCCTCCAAGGATGGTCAGACGGCACCCCTGACACCAAGAGAAGACACACTGTCTCCGAGGCATGGATTGTGGCTGAGAACAACAGTACATCCACTGAGACCAGCACCAGCTGGAGACGCCAGTCACACACAATGACAGCACAGAACACCAAGCCATTTCACAGTGGCAGGCCTGGGGAACTGCAGAGTTGCCTGCATTGCCCGTAGTCTCTTTTTATTACACAGACAACAACTGTATCCTTCATTAAACAGCTCATATCTCTTCCTGTAAGAGGTGCACTGATCAAGCAAACATTATAGAAAGCATCACTTTATTACAATACATCTAGTTTTCTGCTCTGTTGTTACCACTCATTGTTCCTGTTATCCAGACACTGAAGACACTTGTGACACCAGGACAGCAGTCTTCAAGAAAAAAAAAGAATACACACCTGTGAAGAAAGATTCCAGATAAAAAAGCGCACATAAAATTGAAATTAAAAGACAATTTTAATATATTAAAAGGTTTATTTGAATTCACCACAAAAGTGCACATAAAATCTCAAAACAATATAATAACCTTACAATGAACCACAAGTATCAGGACACGTTTTTGGACTGAATCCTTTACACCCACGCGGAACCACAGTACATGAGGATTGGTCAGTGTTTATTTGAGCAGACTGTGCACCCAAGAGAAAAGGCCTGGTTTGGTGGGTTTGGTGTGCTGAGACTTGTCAGCTTTGGCCTTCTTCCTCTCCTTTTCCCTCTCCCTCTCTGCTCTCAGCTCTTGGTCAGCGCACAGGGTTCTCTTCAGCTCCCTCTCTAGGCTGAAGTGCACCATCTGACGGCTCAGCAAGAGTACGATGAGGTTGAAGTTGTCCACCTTCTTGTTGAGCTTGGCCAGCTCCTCGCCAAAGGCCTTACACTCCTGCTGCCAAAGCCGCTGCTCCGCAGGGGAGAGGGGGTCCCCCAGCCGGCCCCTTGACGTCAGGAGCCTGGCCCTTAGCTTGTCTACCGTTTCGCGGATCTCCTTCTGCGCCACGATCCACTCCGGCTGGTAGCCATTGTCGATGAGGATGCGGTTGAGGTTGTGAGTCATGGGGTCAGCGTAGGGGTTGTGGCTGAACTTGCCGAGAGGCTTGCCTGCCCCGCGCAGGTTGCTGAAGTCACCCTTAGCCATGGACTCCTGGATGAGGTCCTCCACCAGCCGCTCCACCGCCTGCGTGATCTTGACCTGCCGGCTGCTCCGCCGCACCTCCTGCGCCATCAACGCGCCCTCCTCCCCTGCCTGCCGTTCAAACTCCCGGCGACGGTAGTCCAGCACCTGCTCCGTGGCCCGGTCCACTCGGAACTGACGGTATTGCCGCTCTCGCTGGCTGGGCGTGCCCAAGCCCACCCCCTCAAAGCTGAGGTACTGCCTGTGCTGTGGTGCCTGCAGCCTGGACTTGCCGTCTTCCTCCTCCTCCTCTTCTTCCCCAGATTGGCGCGCCTTCTCGTTTTGCTGCGCCAGGTGTGCCAACACGGCTCGGTACGCCGCCTCCAGCTGGGAGAACTTGTGCGGGTCGGTACAGAGAGCCCCGCTATCAGGGTGGTACTGCTTGGCGAGCCGTAGGTAGGCCTCTTTCACTTCGGCAGGGCTGCTGCCCCCCTCCCTGGACAGCTGCAGCAGGCGGTAACTGTCCTGCAAGCTGGGGTTCATCCTGTAACTCGCCAGCCAGCGGGCAGGGGGACATCGGAAGGGCAACAGGGCCTCGTGGACCTCCAGGGCAAGATGCCACAGTAGCCAGGAGCAGCTCATCCTCACTGACACTCCAGCTGAGGAGCAACTCAGCTGCCAATTAAGACAGAAGAAAATCAGATTCATGAAATCGTGAAAAGAGTAAGGGAGCCACAAAGAGGCAAACACCTCGTATGAGACCGTGACAAGAATATTTGTTTTACATTAGCATTTTCATTCATTTTAAGTTGTATAACAAAACTCGCATCCAGTAGCATCATTCTATTTTGTGTTTGGTGCCTCTGAAATGTAATACTATACAAGATTTATTACAAGAAAAAAATAATGATGAACCTGAGATAAGATCATTAAAAGGAAACATGTCACATGAATCTGCAACAATGGCATGCATGAGTCAAAGATACACTAGTCTACTTTTACCAGTCTTATGATCTAGAGCTAATCCATGCTGAAATATAAGTGTTTAATTTTTCTCCTAGTAAGAATTAAATACTTTGCAATAAATAATAAATACTTTGCAATAAGTAATAAATACTTTGCATTTAACACATGCTGATGCAGCTCCCCACTCAAACTCTTCCCATCCAGTTTCATTTATCATGTTTAGGGCTCTGCATTTTTCATAACATGTTTTGTCAAAAAGTAATTCAATCCATTAAGTCCTCCAGCCTGAAGACTTTGATATAGTCTCTTTTCAAGCCACACCAATGACAAAACCTGAAATCTTATGATACTCACAATTGCTATAATTATTCTTCCCATTACCACAAACTATCTAATGAAAAAAATAAAAATTGCTATAGATATTTTACTGAATGCATTTGTATTCATGAATATTTACAGTATTCTAATCCTGTAACTGTACAGGATTGTAATGGATAGTTGTTGGCGTGTGTATGTGTGTTTCTTGCAAACAACATGCCAAAAACAAATTTCAATCTGTTAAAAATGTTACCTAAATAACAGAATCTTAGCGGGTATAACTATATTATTAGCAGTAGTAGTATATTGGGAATGTGACTCCTTTTTCTATACTTACAGTAAAATCCCTGCATTTAACAGAAAAAAATAATTGTTAAAAAAGCGTAGCTCTCTTCCACAGAATTGGAGAGATCAGAAGAAATATCTCTTTAAACATTTTTTTTTCTCTTGTAATTTGGGAACTTTAGTTCTTCTTGCATTTTGATTTCCTTTTCACATTCCCGGCATGGAACATGTCTTCTGATAAATTGGTCTGGAATACTTCTAAAAACTTTGAACAGTTACAGACAAAAGGAGGTTATTCAGATGTCCCTAGTAGTAGTTTGTAGCTAAATGATCCAAAGATCTGTTCCAGCTGTTTCATATAATAATCCAGGGTATATCCAGAGTATCACCTTCAACAGCTTCCATGGGTAGCTTGTTCCACACTCCTCCAACCCTTTGTGCAATTTTAAATGCTCTAAACCCTTGCTTGATGAAATGCCTTCAATTCTATTCCAAAGAAGGTAAGAAATGACCTGCACACACATTACAAGAAGCTGTGACACAAGTATAATGTTGGTGTTTGTGGCTAATTGCTCCTTGCTAATCCGAGGTATTTTCTAAAGACTTTAACAGATAACTGCTGAGCTGATTACAGTTTTGAATTTTGGACTATGACGAGCTTTGCTGCCGTCTGGGGGCTCAGGCCTGTATTGCAATGTCACAGAACAAAAAAATAAACAGGCTTAATTATGCTGCTCAGTCTGCATCACTGACAAAAGGAATCAAAAATCTATTTGAACTTAGTTTTGCAGTTTCATTTTACAACTTAGTTTACGTAATTTGGAATTCATGGTTCCTGAAATCTTTACGCTTGTACAATTTCAGGAATTCAGACTCTGGTTTATACATGTTGAAACATATTACCAACTTTACAGTGGTTTTAAATAACCACTTTTTTTTGTGGCGAGCCAGAGCCCAACCTAGCAGGATACACCCTAGATGGGATAACAGTCAATTTCAAAGCTCATCCACACACACAGATGTAGGGGCATGACTTAAGAGATGCCAATCAATCCAGACATGTCCTTGAAAAACAGAGGAAGGGTGAAACGCAACATCGCCAAATGGGGCTTCCCCATGGCCAAGGAGCGCTGGAGACTGTGGCCTAAGACTGTATAGGGACTAAAGAGGAAATCCCTGTTCCTTTGAGCTCTTGTGGGAGGACTGGACGACCGCAGTTCCAGAGGCAGGACAGAGAGGACAACAGCAAGTGGTAGGGCTTGGAGGAACTCTTTTATTATGCACTTTATAAGTCTAGGCCTAGCATCCACTTCCTCGGATTGAGAAAAGACAATCGCCTTTTAATAACTTTTTGTAATATAGGAGAGATCGCATGGCTTTGTTAGAATGTGTACTCATTGCAAGATAGCTCACGTAGGGAGCTGCGTCAGCATGCGCAGGCTGCAAAGGAACAAGTAAAAGTTTATTCCATGCTGAAAAGAGAAGAAAGGAAACACAACAAGCGGTAATGTCGTGTTTCCTTTCTTCTCTTTTCAGCGTGGAACAAACCTTTACTTGTTCCTAACTGTAACTATTGTGAAATGAAGTTTATTTTACCAGAAAAAAAAATAAAAAACAGGAGACCCTTAAGAAAACCAGGAGGTGTGAAGCAGCAGTTTTTACCTCTGTGCCTTTGTACAACCTAAAAGCATTCCCAAAAAGAATACGACATTGAGTTGCACACCTGATGCCTTCCTGTTCAGCAGGGTCTAGGATGGTAAATCCTGGCCCTGGGGGGCTGGCGTTTCTGTGGGTTTTTATTCCAATTCCGTTTTTGACAGGTTAAAATTTAATAAATTTCCCTTCAGGATCAATAAAGTCTTATCTATCTAAAACAGCTGTTTTCAGCACACAGATACTTTTCAAAAAGGCTCCCCTCAACTTGCTGTAATTTCTGAATAAACAGCTCTTGCTAGTTAATTGCTTGTTGATAAACACATACAGCTGGGAATAATACTGTTATCAGACATGAAGATATCAAACTGAATCAAAGACAACATTCATCCAGGACTGGGCTTGGGATTGTCTGCCCTGTGATATTCAATTGCTGACCCTACAATGCCAGAAATAAAATCCCTTTAAATCCCACTCTCACAGGTCAGTGAGACACCTGGTTTTCATTCCTGCTGAGCTGTTTGTTAATTTATCTACTTACTCAGCAAATATCTATCCTTAAAACCTAAGTAGATTTATAGTATAACCCCCTAACATATTGTATTGCCATTTCGATAATATAGTACCATAAATGCCAAACCTGTCCTACAGAACCGGAAATGTAAAGATTAAAACTAATTTTATTTGCTAAAGCAAAACTGTAACTGTAAATACGCAAAGCAATCAATACTGGTACATCATAATGAAAATCTAGTTTTCACCGTTACATAATTACATAACTGCAGAGTTCACAAAATGCAGCAAGAACTGTCCCGGGTACTGCACGACAGTATTGCACTTCATAAAATAATATCTCAAGTCCGTAACAGCAAATTACACTTTATATTTTGCAGTAGTGACACTCAATGTTTGTGCAGTAAAAAGCACAGGCGGAGCAATAACGAAACAAAGGGTTTCTACCAGTATGGTTGACCTCAATGTACTGTGATTTCCTAAAGTAGTGCCTTTAAAGGTGCAAAAGTCAGAAAGACGAAGGTAAAACAGACCGCTGTCAACTAACCTTGTCAGAAATGCATTAAAGCAAATAAAGAGCTTCAGATTCGCTCACAAAAAGCCAGTCTTCTATGTTCACACCTTTTCTGAATCGATTACCTAGAAAAGTGCCAACTGCCTAAACATAAAAAGAGAAAAAACTATCGACTTTATTATGTAAAAGTGCAATGTGGGATATGTAGTTTATCTGTCCTTAATGCACTATGGGATTAGTAGTACAACGTAACATTTGCAGTGGCATTGTGGTCTATGTAGTCAACGGTGATTCGCCTAACACTATTCTATCTGCATTACATAAATTAATAAACGGGAATATTGACAATATTCTGTCATCTGTAATGTTAGGCATGAATACATATTCAGAAAAAGTACAGGTAAACGACAAAAAGTAAACTGAAGATTCGCTTCGATAAATAAAAAACACAGGTTATATGAGCACTGCAACTTTGTTCAAACTTGTTTTAAAATTAATATCCAGCCCAAATCATTTTTTTTCTAGTGACAAGAGACGGAGACCCTGTCCAATGAGAGCGAATCATGAATAATATACAGGAAGCGCAGCTGTGTGTTAAAAATAGCAGAAGAACGGTTCAGGTTTGCTGTTTGGACTGTAATGGATCTGAAATGATCTGCAGAAAGAGGTGAACTTCTATTGATCCCGATTTACTTCAGAAATAAAAAAAAACACATTATCGATAGGCCACGAAACCGATGAACACGTTTGGTTGAACGAGTGTTAGAAGTTACTCAGGGATACTATTTTCGAAGCCTCGTAACTCTTTAACATTTGTGTTTTACGATAACTAAATGAACTGGGTTTCAGTACATCTATTGAACATAATAAATGCATATAAAAATAACATTTTCTCGTCTGGTTTGTGATTTCAAACGCTTCTTGAAGCGGCAACATCTTTGATTGTTATTTCAATGCATTATATTAAAGAATATTTATTTTATATGAAGATCGGTTAACTCCCGTTTTTACAGACCACCCAAATCAGCATACAGAGATTTTGCTGACAACTAGAAACTGAATCTTCATGTTACCTCTTGTTGGTGTTAACACATGAACCACTGTGTCTGTTTCTGCAGTGCCGGGCTCTAGTCCCACGCTTGGGCTGGCTGTCTGGGCTTGGACTTCATAGCCCCGGGGGGATGGAGTTGGACGGGGGAAATGGATACAACAGTGAGGGGGAGGAGGGAGCTGCCGCGATGCTGTGGACGATAGACGAGGCCGTGCAGCGGCAGACCCTCCAGATCGGGGCGTCGGCATGTGGGGCTACTGCTGTAGTGGACGTGCTGCAGGTCCTGGGGATCAGCGTGACGGCCGAGGACGCGGACCGCTGCGTCCAGACACGCCTGCGTCAAAACGAGGCCCCTCTCCCGGAGTATCTGCTCTCCCGGAGCCAGGCTGGTACGAGCTTTCCTTTTTGTTCCAGTACTGACAGCGGATAAGGTCCACGGAAGAGGAGAAATCATGTTTAAAGTGGCCTCTAGGCGTTAGTCAAAATACTAACTCAATACGGGCATTGTGAAAGAAGCTGACCCAGACGCGATTGTTTTGCTCTCACGTTCTCATGAACAGGTCGCACATGTTCTTATTACGTGTTCTCTGCCAGAACACGTTCGCATTAGAACATACATTCTTAAGAGCAAGGGGTGTCAGCCACAGTGCCTGCAGTCTTTCAGGCTCCCAATCCAGGCTCTCAGTTAATTCATTAACGAGTCTAATTACGTGGGGGGATTTATTACTCTTGTCCAGCTTCATATTCAGTTTTGTGGAAACCATCCTGAAGCAACAGCCTCAACTGAATTCAACTGACAAAAAAGTGTAAAAATCTTAATAAAGCCCCAAGTTGAGTGTGATGCCGTGTCCTTGTGTGTGGGACAGCGCCTCCCAGTGGTCTGTGATCTGTGCCTTCAGTCTGTCAGCAGCAGAGTGTGGAACGTTGAGCACTGAGCGACAGTGAGCCTGGACACTGCGAGGTCCCAGAGACAGGAGCTGCATTTGGAGGTGTTGGGCACAGTCCTAGTGTACCAGTGCAGAGTAGGGACAGCTGCACCTTCGCAGGCAAACTATTGTCAGTGTTCATTTACCCTGTGCTCATTGTTTACGAGAGCTGACTGGAAGTGATCATTGCCTTCCCTCAAGTCTTAATATATTGCTGATTTAAAGAGTCCTATAAACCAGGAGTCTCAGACTCTGTTGCTGAAAGGCCTTGTGTCTTTTAGTCTTTGTTCTGACCTGAATCTTCAATTAGACAATTAACCTCATTGTTTTCTAAATTAGACACAGATAGGATTTTTCTTAAGGTCTTTTACAGGTGATTACACAAGGCATTTAAGGTACAGTTAACTATAAACCACCTTGGAGCTTAATTGGACTTATATTCCAGTTATGCAGCTAATAAAATAATTAGACCATAAATGTAACTGAGGATGTGGTTGGAACCACTGGTATCGATCCTCTGGGTCTGGTGGTGTTGAAGTCCATGCTGTGCTGTTCAGGGTTGAGGGCTGAGGGCTTGTGTATGTCTTTCTGCTGTCCCAGTTTGTATATTTCTAGCGAGACTCCCTGTGATCAATGTGTGTATTTCCAGCGAGACTCTCTGTGACCAGTGTGTGTATTCCCTGTGAGACTCTCTGTGATCAGTGTGTGTATTTCCAGTGAGACTCCCTGTGATCAATGTGGGTATTTCCAGTGAGACTCTCTATGATCAGTGTGTGTATTCCCTGTGAGACTCTCTGTGATCAGTGTGTGTATTTCCAGTGAGACTCTCTGTGATCAGTGTGTGTATTTCCAGTGAGACCCTTTGTGATCAGTGTGTGTTTTTCCAGGGGCCACACACCAGCAGCTGGTGGAGGGTGCGGAGAGGGCAAGTGGTGGACGGGTGCTGGGCCGGTTTTTCCCACTCCACCCATCCCGGCAGCTGGCTCTGGTACCCTGGCTGGCCTCATGGATCCGGAAGGGTGCTGTTCCTGTTGCCACCATGAACATGCAGCTGGCAGTGCCCGAGGGTGAGGAGGTGCCTGATGCCTGGCACCACCAACTCATCTTTGGCGTCACACCCAGTGCCGTTTACATGACAAACCCCCTGGATGTGGGTGAGTGAGCTGCAGTGGTGGGAACCGACTGGCCTGTCCCTGAGACACAACTGTTTTTCTTCTTTAGTTCTCTCTGTTTGTTCTGTAAAGGATTTAAGGTTGAAATCATGTTCAGTCAGTGTTTGAATGCAGTGTTTGACTCAGCACTGAGTCATTATGTGTGTGCAGAGAGACCCTCTCTGATCAGTGTGTGCTTGCAATGAGACCCTTTTCAATTAAATATCAATTACTGTATGCATTGAAACTTTCTATGATCAGTGTGTGTATTTCCAGTGAGCCTCTCTGTGATCAGTGTGTGTATTTCCAGGGAGCCTCTCT